AGTTCTTAGTTAAAATTTTGTAATAGAATGCATTTTAAACTATTATTCGCTTATATATTCTATTATATGAACATGTGTTAAACTACTTTGATCTTAGTTAACATTTTGTAATATAGTGCCTCTCTGGGGATTTTGATGTTTTTGTAACCCCTATATTAGATATGTATATATATCGTACTTTGTGGACCATTTTTCCATTGAAAATAATGTCAATTATTCATGCTAGTTTTGGATGACAAAAGATAGGGTGCTACATATAAGATTTTGTAATTAAGATTTAATATATATATATATATATATATATATATATATATATATATATATATATATATATATATATATATATATAAAAGCTCGTTTCCTTTACATTTATCTCCTAGCTACTTTTGTACCCTAATATGATGTGAGGTGTTGTTTGGTTCGCAGAATGTTATTAAAGGAATTTGAATTTGAATTGGAAATGAATCTATCAAGAATTTGAATCTAATTTCATATGTTGTTTAGTTGATAGGAAATGGAATTGGAATTAATTGCAGAATCTGTTTGGTTCGCAGGAAATGAAATTGGAATTTATATAAAATAACATAATTACCCTTTTTGCCTGTTTTGTTTAATTTTACATTGTTTTCTAACTTATATGTAAAAAGACATGATGAAAATTATAAAAACAGTAGAATTTCGGTAGTGGTGGCAGTGGTGGTGGGGGTAGTAGCGGTGGTGGCAGCTACAGTGGTGTGTGGCGGTGATGGTGGCTGCGATGGTGGTGGTGATGGTGGCGGTAACATTGATTGTGGTGGTGGAAGTGGTGGTGATGGTGGCAGTGTCATCTGGTGGTGACAGTGATAAAGGTGATGGTGTTGGTGGTAGCAGCGGTGGTTGGTGGCGGTGGTGGTGGTAGCGGTGATGGTGGTAATGTTAGTAGTGGTGGTGGTGGTGGCGGTAGTAGTGGTAGGTGATGGCATTAGTAGTGGTGGTGGGTAATGGTGGTGGTGGTGGTAGTAATGGTAGCGGTGGTGGTGGTAGTCAGTGGCGGAGGCAACGGTGCTAACGACGATGATGGTAGTTGGTGGTGGTGTCGTAGGCAGTGGCGGTGGGTGGTGGTGGCGGCGGCGGTGGTGGTGGGTGGTGGTCATGGTGGTGGTGGTGGTGGTCGGTGGCAGTCGCAGTGGCGGAAACGACGACGGTGGTAGTGGTTGTGGCGGTAGGGGTGGTGGTGGTGGTGGTGATGGTGGTAGTCGTTGGTACAGCAACGGTGGTGGTGGTGGTGGAGGTGGTAGCGGCAGTGGTGGTGGTCAGTGATAGTGGTGGTAGTGGTCGTGGGTTTTATGATAAGTACAAGGGGTATTTTTCTAATCTGCCACTTTCATTGATGAGAATAAATGTTTTCCATCCAACTTTGGAAGGAAATCACTTTCCTCCATATGGTGGAAAATTTATTTCATTTAGGAATATTTTTCCCCTCTCTAAGTCAAACCAAACGCATGAATTCGAGGGAATTGGAATCTTTTTCCCTCGAATTTTATTCATTTCCTGTCAACCAAACGCACCCTAAAAAGCATGATCGAGTGGGGACCTTTATCCACAAAATGTTTTCTATAAATGTATTCTTAAAAAAAACAATTTGAAACCTTCGTATTAAAAGACTGTAAAATATCTCATGTGAAGGATGTTTCATCGATATAGAGCTTTGGTTTAACTGCCCTAGGTAGTTAAAGTAATGTTTAGACTTAAACCAAAAAGCTCAAGTTTTGAATTTGAGTAAACGGTTATCATGAATATAGGATTTAATCCTAGAATTTCCTACCTACATGTTTTATGGTTAAAAAGACTTAGCCTTAGTAATTGATGAACCTCGTGATAGATTAATATTTGATTATCATGGATTTAAGATCTTAGACTTATCATTTCTTACTTTTATATTTTAGGCTTTAGATGCTAAAGGTGTAATTGATATCTAGAATTAACTCATAGTTTATACAAGAACACTAAATTTTTTTGGGTTGGCTAAAAAGACATCCCAATTTTTCATTTGGACACCCTATTTGATTTTTAAGGTTTTTTTATTGGTTAAATTTGCATTGTTTTTGAAAAAGTAAAATATAAATAGTTTATTATAGGTTGACTTTTAATAAAAGTGTTTATAGGGTGTCTAAAAGGTGTTAATTTAGCAATACCCATTTTTTTTTGGATGGAATGATGTCATAAAACAAGATGAAATGTAACTTTAAAGATGGTCACTGTAAATAATTAAATATTTAAATATGAACTTAAAATCCATATGTAATTTACATATAAGAATAAGAGCAAGGTAACCTTATTTGTTAAATTAAACATCTAAAATAAGGATATTTTTGACCTTATTATTTTGACCAATGATATAAAGATTTTTAATATATACTAAATTATATGCTTAACATCTAAATAAATTATATTTTTATAATAACTAAAATGGAACTTTAATTATTAAGGTATACCTAATGAATGATTTTTCCTAAAATTTTGAAATATTTCATTATGTATTGAAGTTGGTTGCACTTACTAATTGATTTAAAGTAATGTGAGGACCCTTTCAAATTTGTGTTTAGCTTTGCCGATGAACTAAGTCTAAGATAAGATCTTAGTGATATGATTTATGTAAGATTAAAAGTGATGAGTACATTCATCTTGACATGTAATTATTATAAAGACATTACTTTTCATTTTGAGCTAAACATAAGAAAAAAGCTTCCAACCATGGGTATAAAAAGAAAGAATATTCTTTAAGAGTACATAAGGAACTTAGAAAATAAAAGTAACCATTATGTGTACAAGGTAAAATTATAGTATTGACAAATAAAATGAAATGAATTAAAGAAGTTGAACTAAAGGAAAAGATTATGTGAAATAGTTTACCTTTAGATAAAATTTGAATTTGAGAGACAAACTTGATTACAAATGATAAGAAATGACATGATATAGTATATTAAGTTTAAGATTTATTGACACAAAGTATAGATTATGGTGTTAAAGCAATCTATCAAGTAAAAAATAAATATCATAAGACTTTATGGAGTTTTGAGCTTTCAGATGGAGTTTTTAACATTTTTACGTTAGAATAGATTTACGGGTACATTATAATTTGGTTTATATTACTAGATATTAATCATAAATTAGAAGTTTTGATGCATAGAGGTATGTTCAAATGAGAACATTTTTTATATTGATAACACTTGAGAACAATTTCCAGCAACATAGGCTACAATTCGTCATTGTATTAATTTATCACACTATATAATGTTAAGTCGCTCCACCAAAGAACAACCGGAGAATAGCCGGACATTGAGCCGCTGTCGTTACCGGGTCGCCACCGGCAGCCGGATCGACCGGACCACCGCCAGAATGTTATTTCTCCATTCTCTACGAATCTGCTTCACCTCTTTTTCTCCCCTAAACCGCCTCCCATATCTACTTAAAACTAGGTCTGTCGAAAAAACCAGAAACCCGTTCTACCCATCCGACCCGTTCCGAATTCGGGTAGAATGGGTCAGGTAGAACGGATAACGGGTATGAACATTCGGGTAATAGGTTAACCCGATAATAATATAGGTCGGGTTTTAGGTATGAATATTTATTTTCGGGTATACCCGAATACCCGAATTTGTTTTTTAAATAATACCAAATATACAATGCAATCACGTACGCACACTTCAAATAAAACAAAACCCTTCGTTTCCTTCTTATGATCGACGGTCGACGCAAACTTGCAAAGGGAATGCGACGCTGAAGCTAAAATCCTGAACCATCATCACAATTCTCAGTTTCTCACTATCGTACGGAATGGAATTAAAAAAGTATATAACATATTATAATGATTTGTATTCTTATTATATATATACTTGTTAATTGTATGGAGTACTTTCCTATCCGATTCTTTATTAAGCAAACCAATATGTAAAAATAAAAAAATAAAGAAAAAAAATTATCAATAAGTCTGATTTAATAAATTTTCGGGTATACCCGATAATTACCCGACCCGACCTCAAACCCAAATACCCGAAACCCAAAAACCCGAATTACAACATAAATCCGAGTATCGGGTATTATTTTCTTTAAAGAAATATCAGTTCCAGCCGAAACCCGGATATTTTACCGGTTCGACACCCTACTTTCAACAGAGCTGGATTGAAGTTCAAGAAGACATCCGGAACTCGCTGAATCATCGAAAATCACATTGGAATCCTCAAACTATCGACGGAGCCACCAGAACGTCGTCGGAAATGCTAAAAGTATCGCCGAATTTGTGAATTCGCTCACAATGTCATGGCGAAGCTGCACCATATCGAACCGAATAAATTTCAACGATGTTTATTAACTCATCAGGAGGTATTGCCTTTAGGTTTCTGATTTGCTCACCGGTGACGGGAACCAACGACTCTGGGTACCAAATTTCTGATATATTACTTTGTATCATTTCATCGTTCTAGCTTGATGCGATGAAGATATATTGATATTCTTACGCACGGGTACAAGTACTGAAGCAACATCATTGATTGGAGTTTGGTATTAAGTGAGATTCGTTGGAGAAGGAAGCTTCACCGGAGAGTTGCTTGTCACCGGCCTCCAAGGAAGTTCAGCGGGACGAGGTGACTGTAATACAGGAATGGTGAGCCTGGAATGCAGATAAGCGGAGGAATTGACAGATTCGATGTCTCCGGCTAAAAAGTTGTGGTCGGAATTAGAGATGGATGTCGTCGGTGAAAGAAGCAGTGGACGGACATGAAGATGGAGGCTAGGAACGACTACAACTGATGAGGTATGGAGTTCACTGTGTTTCTTTAGAATGGATTAGGTTAAAATTAGCTTTATCTAGTATTTGGGCCTAATTTAGGCTTCAGGTTATAATACTTCTTAATTGCAAAATTAAGAGGCAATATCTTAAAATTTCGGATTCAGATCGCTTGTTTAAAGTTATAATTACCTCTTATTTTTTCAGATATTGAACAAGGTCTGAAAAATAAAAAATGATGCGTACCTAATTTGCCCTAAAGAAAGACCGACAAACGCTTCATCGCCTTTCCTTCCCTTCGTGTGTGCTTCCATTCGCGTCTGCTTCTCTTCACCACCAAGATTCCGACGAGGCTCACGTCCACCCAAAACGTCGACGATGTTGCACCCTGCAACGCCGACGCCGACGCACGTCCTCTGGCTCGAACTCGTTTTCAAATTCTGCCCAACAGGTATGTTTCTCTTCTTCTAAAAATCGATTTCATTGCCTGCATCCGATCTGCAACGCCACCGGTGCCGCCGACTTCGCCTCCGACATCTTGTATAGGTAAAGTTTTTCTATTTCTCTTGCTCTGCAATCCGAGTTTAAATCTTGAAAATTGAGTCTCGTAGTTTTTCCCTTGAAATTAGAGTATCATTCCTGAAATCAGACCATTGTTTTCCTTTTTTTCCTTTTTTTTTTTTGAAATCAGGGTATCAATTGAAAATTTTGATATTGTTGTCTTCTCAGCACAACTGCAGGAAAAGAAACTAGAATTAGATGTAAGCTGATGTTTTCTTCAATGTTTGTACAGGGATACACACGACATATTCTGTTTTCACTTCATTATGAAATTATTGAAATTGCTTCCATATTCTGTTTTCACTTCATTCATTCATCTTCAATTTATCAAAAATCATGACTCCTTATTGTTCTGATGCATTGTCTATTAACTTGTCATCAGGAATTGGCTATATTGTGCCTCAATAGGTTGAAGAGAGTGATCCAATACTACCTGCCATTAAAACAATATATGGTTCAGCTACTACCCTCCCATTGCCAACCACAACTCTAATAGTTCCTTTAAAGCCATAGAAGGTCAAACCAGTCAAGGATCAGCTCTCAAGTCTCTATTGTACCCTTTTTATAGTTGAAAGAATTGTGAAGATCTGTGAAGCTCTTGAATTGGAGGTTTTGATTGTTTTGGGTGCCACAATTAAGAAATAGGTTTGTCATTTGTGATATAAATTGATTTTCTTGTATTATTGCAATTAGTTGGTTGGGGTATACTCACGAAATGATAGTGTTATGTTTGATTTGGTTATTTTATAAGAAAAAATATTGAATTTAGCAAAAAATAACATAGAAGGGCAAAATGGTCATTTTTTATAATTCAGCACTGCAATTCAGAGGTTCTAAACAAACCACATTTAAAAATTCAGACCATCTTAGAAATTCAGACCACTTAAAAATTCAGATCTTGAAAATTCAGATCCTACCAAACAACACCTTATTTCATAAAAATAATAAAATGGGTTTATTTATTTACTTTGAAGATATACATATGCTTCTGTATTCTATTCCTCATAACTAATATCTAATATTATTTTTAAAATTTATTGTTTTAATTATATAACCAATACGTAATAGTATCTAATGTTATTTTTAAAATTTATTGCTTTAATTATATAACCAATACGTAATAGGATCTAATATTATTTTTAAAACTTATTGCTCTAATTATTCATAATAAGTGTTCATATAAATTAAACATAAATTGTATTTTAAGAAAATATCCCTAAGGCTAATTAGCTAATATGAAAAATATTGTATGTTATTATGGGTAAAATATAAATAGAAAATGGCAAGTGATTCAACATGGAAATTAGTAAAAATGAATTTTGTCCATTTTAATCATATATGATTAGATATATTTAATTACATGTTTTTAATCACATTTTATTAAATACACGATAACATCTATTTAAACAAAAAAACGTGAAAACAAATCTTGTTTACATAAATCATGTGTGATTATCACATACAATTTATGTGGACAAGGTTCATTTTCGTGTTCGCGGTTCAATAGTTATTCTTGATTATTCAATCACATGTGATTATATATATCTAATCACATACGATTTATATGGATAATATTCGTTTTCGTGTTCTCGATTCAATAATTATTCTCATATATTTTAACCAAATGTGATTATATGTATTTAATCATATTTTATTATATGTATTTAATCATATATGATTCATGTGCACAAGATTTGATTTTGCGTTTACAATTTAAGAGTTGTTCTTTGTCGACATTTGAAAGGAATCTTGTCTACATATTCTGACAACCCGGAACTTCTATCAATACTAAACTCGACTCTGTCACCTTTTAACATCGTATAAGGGTCCATTTAATTGTTCTAAGCTTGAGTACAACCAAGGTTGAGATTAAGGATGAACTATAAAGTCGTAAAGTAGCAAAATCGGGCCATACACCCTCTTGGGAGGTGTGTCGACCGTACACATGGGTGTGCGGCCAGACACCCACCCCTCAACCGCACACCCGGGGTGGTGGGTCAACTACCCCTATAAATATAAGGAGACCCCTCTCATTCAGTCTTTTCTTCCTTTAGATGCACACTGCTACTTTCTCTCTCTAGAATCTTCATCCAAGAACCCTCCAAAGGCATAGAAAACGTAAGTGATTCATCCCCTAGCTCGTTATACTTGAAAGATCCCTTGACTCTTCATGTTTTAGGCCTTGTTCTTCATCCTTTGAAGGTGTACGGCCGCCACCTTCATAAGGTCGGCCATAAAGACCTTAAAGGCCCTCCAAAGTGAGAATTTGACCCCCTATCTTCTAGTTGGACACAACCCTAGCCTTGATTCTCTTGAAAATCGAAATTTTGGGCATAGATGAAGAGTGTGCGGCCGTACAGCCCTCTGTATGGCCGCACACCCCTTTGTACGGCCGCACACACATCCTCAGGGTCGCACACCCTCTTTGATGTTCATATTTGGCCTTAAACTTGCAAAACCACTAAGCATGGGACCTAGAACACCCCTTAGATGGTAGATAGAGCCTTGGAAACACCTCAAAAAACTCTCCATCATGAGTGTACGACCGTACACTCATGGGTCGTACACGCATGGCCATACACCTCCTTCACTCGATTACATATGGTTTTAACACTTGGTTCAAGTGTTTCCAAGTCCTTAGAGTGGTTTCCTATCATGTCTAGTCGTAAAATACCCTAATTTGAATCATATATGTGTCATTACATGTTAAATAGGGTCCAATTGTGTTCGAAGCTTCAGTTAACACCCAACATCCATACCGGTCTTACATTCGAATCCTACGTCAAAACGGTGAGTTCATACCCTACATTTTCCGAGTTTTTAAATGTTTTTAGGGGGAATACAAGTGTAAACACAAGTAATCCTCTGTTCAAATATATTATTTCGTTTAACATATTACTGTTATCAAGATATAGTGAATCTAGAAATCATTTTACATAACGAGTTAGGTTATGAACCATGAAAAGGCCATTTTCAAAACTAAAGAATGAACTTATGAATCATGAAACCAAAGATACTATCTTATAAAGATTCATATTAATAACAAAAAGGGTTTTCTTGTATTATTACTCGTAAAGTCATCACCTAAATTGGGAGACACGTCCTCGTACACTTTAATAACAAAGGGAAGGACTTGGTCCTTGGGTACTATCAATCATCAGCTAAATGGAGGACTACTCTTATGAACCAGAATTTCCTGGAAGGAAAGCATGGCTTTTGTGTATAAATCTATATGGGACTGACTAGCCCGCACCTTGCTGCTAGCTACAGTGGGACTGACAGGTCTACAGGTGACAAATGTCATAAAGGATATTGGCCTGGATACATGCCATATCAAGTTTAAGTATGGTCATAAAACTCACCAGTCGGACGGAGCTTCTACGTAATAATAATATACCTCTCTTAAGTAACTCCTTTAATAATATAAGTGTAGTACTTATATCTTACAATTTCGGAACTATTAAACTTAAACCTCACGTATTCCAGGGAAAATAAGGGATTTTCCTAGCCTCAACCTCTTACTGGTGGTAGCCAGGGTTTTCAAAAAGGAACTATGTTTAACCTATATAAGTATGGTAGATACTTATACTTTCTGATTTAAAACGAGTAATTCACTAATTTTCACTTAAAGGAAACGCAGGATTTCCCGGGGTAATCACCGGTATTTTATAAATAAATGGTTTATAATCAACTAACACACATTCATTATTAATTCCATGACTCCTTAGTTTATGCATCCGGGTTATGTATAAAGAATACCTGATAGACGGTGGATTGTGTGGCTTCTGCCTCATTCCTTGTTCCTTGTTTGGTTGTGGGTTTAGGGCAGATCCACACAATTAACTGTTTGTCCGATGTTCTTTATACATAACTAGTATGAACTAAGAAGTCATAGAAGGAATTTGTTAATCATACTTTTCATAAGAAAATAAGGGATTTTCTTGAGGTTCAATAGCAATAGATCAACACTGGTTAACGTTGTAAGTACCTAGTGAATACTTCAGGATTATGTACATGAGAATCTGACAACCAGTGGAATGTGTGGTCTCCGCCTCTTTTCCTGTTCCTTTTTTGGTTGTGGTCTTGGGGCATAACCACACAATCGACTGTTTGTTCGATTTGGATTGTATATGATTTGTATACACTAAGTACTCGCAGGAAGAACTAGCAGAAATCATTTTTACCTAACTTTTACTATATCAAAAAATGTAAGTTTTCTGGAGAAAAATAACGTACTTTTCAAAAGAACAAAGAACAGTTTTTCCAAAACAAAATGCTTATGAACTCACCAGCTTTATGTTGATACTCTTTCAAAACTTACTTGTATTCTCAGGACACTAGTAGACAGGTACACGCACCGGGTTCAAGAAGATGGAACATAGTAGCTTCGAGTCTTTATTTGTTATTTACTTTTGGCGTCAAACATGTATAATTCAAATGAAATGTAAACATTATACTATTAATACAATGGTTGTTGTTGCTTTGATTGCTATTATTCAATTGTTGTGATACTACATATGACATCCTCCGCCCCCGAACATTTCCACCGTTTCAGTTTAGGGGTGTGACACATATAATCATATATGATTTATATGGACAATATTCATTTTGCGTTTTGGATTCAATATTTATTATCGTGTATTTAATCGTAGGTGATTATATGTGATTAGATACATAAGAAAATTATTGAATCGAAAATTCGAAAACAAATCTTGTCTATATAAATAAAATGTTATTAGATACATATAATCACATGTGATTATATGTATTTAATCACATACGATTTATGTGATTAAATACATATAATCATATATGATTTATGTAATTATATTTATTTAAACACACGAGAATAACTACTGGATCACATTTGATTTATGTGGACATGATTCATTATTGCGTTCTCGATTCAATAATTGTTCTTAGTCAACTTTAATTATATATGATTATATGTATCTAATTACATATGATTTATATGGGCAAAAAGAGAATCTTATTTATATAAATCATATGTGATTAGATATATATATATATATATATATATATATATATATATATATATATATATATATATATATATATATATAATATATATAATCATATGTGATTATGTACAAGAGAACAACCATTGAATCAAAAATGCGAAAACAAATCTTTGTCCATGTTAATCATATGTTATTAACTACATATAATCAGATATGATTAAATACATGAGAAAAATTATTGAATGGAAAACATGAAAACTAATATTGTTCATATAAATCATATGTGATTAGATACACATAATCACATGCGATTATATATATTTAATCACGTATGAATAATGTTATTAAATATATATAAATCACACATGATTTATATCATTATGTGATTTCTGTACACAAGATTCATTTTCACGTTTTTGATTCAATAGTTTTTCTTTTTCTACATTAATCATATATGATTAAATACATTTAATCAGATGTGATTATATGATTCTAATCACATATGATTTTATTTGGAAAAAACGAATATTGTCTCTACAAATCATATGTGATTAGCTATATACAATCACATATGATTATATACACAATAACAAATATTGAATCAAGAACGCGAAAACAAATCTTTATCCACACTAATCATATGTGATTAAATACATCAAATCACATGTGATTATATGAATCTAATCACATATGATTTATGTATTTAATAACATATGATTAAATATAATTAAATACTTATAATCATATGATTAAATTCTTATAATCACAAATGATTAAATATATGAGAAAAATTATTGCAACGTAAACTCAAAAATGAATATCGTTCATATAAATCATACGTGATTGGATACATATAATCACATGTGATTATAT